ACAAATCATGGTTGTTGATCGAAAAATTTTATAATTAGACAATGGATTCTCAATGGTTTAACCCACCTATAATATATTGTGTGTCAAAACAATAATGAAAAATTAGAACGTGACCATCTTAATGTTTACAGTAAAATCTAATAGGAAAATCACTTGAGAGGACAATTTCCTTAGTTAACAAGAGTGAGAAACACAAGTGACTCTCATATACCACGTGAGAATGTGACTCGGTTTTGGAAATATAGATGGATTGGGGATTCTCCTCTTTCTTTGTCTTATCGTCGCCTTTTTAGATTATCTAGGTCTCAAGATGATTCCATTTCAAGAATCTATTGAGTCATTTCATCTCCTGGGGGGTGGAATTTTAATTTCTTTAGGGCATTTTATGAAAGGGACAAATCAAAACTTGCATCTTTGTTGTCTTTAATTCAGCCTGTCTCTTTATTGATCGGAGTGGCTAAAGTACCTTCTAAAGTGCAGGTTTTTCCTTGGACAGTGGCTCTTGGAAAGATTAATACTTGTCACGTGTCGCAAAGAAGAAGACCAAATTTTTGTCATTCTTCACATTGGTGCATTTTGTGTTGGAAAACTAGTGAAAGTGTGGATTATATTTTTTTTACTGCCCAAGGGAAATGAAATTGTGGTTCAAAGCCTTGGAGAAATTCGGATTGAGCTGGGTGTTTCCCAAAGTATGTTCCTCTTTTATGGGGACAAACTATGGGGTGTTTGGGAAAGATTGTGAGCATCCATTTTATGGAAATGAGTAGTCATGACAATCTTATGGGTGGTTTGGTTGGAAAGAAATAACATAATTTTTGAAGCAAGAGAAGAAAGGATGGAGTTTCTTTGGGATAAACCAAGTATTTGGAATCCTCGTGGGCTTCGACGGCAAAAGAGTTCAAGGATGTGCCTTTTTACTTTCTTACTATGATTGGATAGGATAGCTTGCATGTAGATAGGGGAGTTCTCGTGGTGACATAGGATTATATTATTTTTCTTTTGATGTAACACCCTTTTTTGGACCATTATTGATTGGATATTTTGTCCACCCATTATGTAAACCTTTATTTAATGAATGAAGGTTTTGTTTCTTATCTATACTATTAATAAAAGTACTTTAACATGAAAAATTTTAATTTACTATTTTGCCCTTATAAAAAACTATAAAGACTAGCGTGTCTTTTTGTATTTAAATATATAAATTATAATTATATCCCTTTCATTTAAATAACAAACTAATCTCTAACATATCATGTAAATCTCTATTTTTTTGCAAAACTTTTAGATGGTCATGTTATGATTAATATGATATATAAAAATAATATTTTTTTTTCAAAAATTCTAATATTAATACATGTTAACAACTTCATTGATACACTATCATCTCCAATGCCTTAAAATGATTATATTTATCTTATCTCTTTATTCACAATCAAAATAACTTCATAAAAAATTACTGATACATAAAGTAAAAACAAGAAAGACAAGAATAAAAAAAATAATTGAGAAAAGGAAAATTTATAAACCTTATTACTTAATAGTTCGAATGAAAGAATCACAGAAAATAAGTCCATTGAATGTTTATAGTTATGAAGAGAATATAAAAAATTTAAGTATGATAAGTATGATATAATATCTAATGTAGCTACATAAATTGTATTTTGTCAAATGTTTCAACAAAAATTTTCACGTGCAACACACGTCATGCATTGCTAGTCAATAAAAAATATACAATGTCAAAATGTCACGCAATTCTCAAGCTGAGCAAAAGATGTAACATTTTATATTTCATTTGGATGTGAAGACATCGGGATTTTGGGGAGAGGATTTAAACAAATTAAAGAGGTGCTCAATAAGGGAAAGCTGAATAATTTGTGCTTTATTGCGTGCCAATGCTATAGTTTGGCATAATGCAGAGCCAAAACACAATATTTTGTCATAAACGCCCCAATGGTGCATTTAAAAACTGTCATTCTTGGCACAATGCTCCATAAAGATTTATTGAACACGTTTAGTCCTAACAAAGAGATCAAGGTTGAGTATTGGTCGAGAAGGGGAAGGGAACACACAATCTATCCTGCCTACATTGTTTGATAGCAGACATATCAAGTCAGTAATAACAATTAAACTGGAGGAGCTGGCCAGGATGGCTTGGTAAGCTAGCAAGTGTGTGTGTGTGTATCTGCAGCATCAATAAAAAACCTATTTTAATGTGATAATTGGTGGTTCAACAAATAGTTTATTAATTTAGTTGAAAGTCACCATAGAATACAAAAATAAATTATAAGTAGATAATGTGGCATTTTTGTGAGTGCAAAAAAAGTAAAGGGGATTAGTGGTCAAACATTTGTCTTGTCAGATTTTCGCATATGTCATTTGTCAGGCTAATTTGGCATGACGAATAGCACACTATTGGAGGTTGTTGCTTTGCTAATCATACTAATTTCGGCATTGGCCTAACAAATAGCCTACCATTAGACTTACTCTTAAGGTGACAATTTGGTAGTTGACCCGTTAACATGACTTGAACAGTGCTATCAGGGTTATGTTGAGGCAAATCATGTTTGTGTCATATTCAAGTTAGCGTCATTATAGGTGTTTGTGCTCAGGTCTTTACCATTTGTCCGACTGACACTTATGATACGAACACGATATGATCGTGACGTATATTTGAGATCCTATTACTATATTTTGCCCTTATTTTTTTTATCAATTAATTTTCAGGTGTGACAGAATATTATGGCATGGCTGCAGCATTGAACAACTATCTTATATTCAAGGAGAATCAAGATTTTACCAGTGTGTGGTGTGCTTGCAATGGAGGTGGAGATGAAGAACAAAGCCACCAGGTTTAGTAAGGGTTTCTCTTGCGGTGCCACAACAATGGAGTATGAAGATTTCATACCTCAAAAGCATTCCTCTTATGAGTTTTGATTAAATCCTCAAAATCTTGAGAGGAAAAAAGAAAGAGCCTCTTGTTCAGGTCTTTACCATTAGTGTGACTGACACCTTATGATACGAACATGATACGACCGTGATGCGAATCTAACTCCTGATTTGGATTACACATTTTCGTCATCTGTCCTATATTTTTGGTGTATATTAGTATTCTGTATTTTATCACTTAAGAATATAATCATTCTAACCGGTGAAAACTGACTAACTCAACATGACCTAATAATTAAAAAAGTTACATGGGTCATGTCGTGTCACCCATGTACCAAATAGATTGTTTCAGGGTGAAAGATTTTGACACAATTGGTTAATCATGAGGTGTAGGGATTGACCTATTTATCAGGATACCCAAACTTNCCAATAAGGGAAAGCTGAATAATTTGTGCTTTATTGCGTGCCAATGCTATAGTTTGGCATAATACAGAGCCAAAACACAATATTTTGTCATAAACGCCCCAATGGTGCATTTAAAAACTGTCATTCTTGGCACAACGCTCCATAAAGATTTATTGAACACGTTTAGTCCTAACAAAGAGATCAAGGTTGAGTATTGGTCGAGAAGGGGAAGGGAACACACGGTCTATCCTGCCTACATGTTTGATAGCAGACATATCAAGTCAGTAATAACAATCAAACTGGAGGAGCTGGCCAGGATGGCTTGGTAAGCTAGCAAGTGTGTGTGTGTGTATCTGCAGCATCAATAAAAAACCTATTTTAATGTGGTAATTGGTGGTTCAACAAATAGTTTATTAATTTAGTTGAAAGTCACCATAGAATACAAAAATAAATTATAAGTAGATAATGTGGCATTTTTGTGAGTGCAAAAAAAGTAAAGGGGATTAGTGGTCAAACATTTGTCTTGTCAGATTTTCGCATATGTCATTTGTCAGGCTAATTTGGCATGACGAATAGCACACTATTGGAGGTTGTTGCTTTGCTAATCATACTAATTTCGGCATTGGCCTAACAAATAGCCTACCATTAGACTTACTCTTAAGGTGACAATTTGGTAGTTGACCCGTTAACATGACTTGAACAGTGCTATCAGGGTTACGTTGAGGCAAATCATGTTTGTGTCATATTCAAGTTAGCGTCATTATAGGTGTTTGTGCTCAGGTCTTTACCATTTGTCCGACTGACACTTATGATACGAACACGATATGATCGTGACGTATATTTGAGATCCTATTACTATATTTTGCCCTTATTTTTTTTATCAATTAATTTTCAGGTGTGACAGAATATTATGGCATGGCTGCAGCATTGAACAACTATCTTATATTCAAGGAGAATCAAGATTTTACCAGTGTGTGGTGTGCTTGCAATGGAGGTGGAGATGAAGAACAAAGCCACCAGGTTTAGTAAGGGTTTCTCTTGCGGTGCCACAACAATGGAGTATGAAGATTTCATACCTCAAAAGCATTCCTCTTATGAGTTTTGATTAAATCCTCAAAATCTTGAGAGGAAAAAAGAAAGAGCCTCTTGTTCAGGTCTTTACCATTAGTGTGACTGACACCTTATGATACGAACATGATACGACCGTGATGCGAATCTAACTCCTGATTTGGATTACACATTTTCGTCATCTGTCCTATATTTTTGGTGTATATTAGTATTCTGTATTTTATCACTTAAGAATATAATCATTCTAACCGGTGAAAACTGACTAACTCAACATGACCTAATAATTAAAAAAGTTACATGGGTCATGTCGTGTCACCCATGTACCAAATAGATTGTTTCAGGGTGAAAGATTTTGACACAATTGGTTAATCATGAGGTGTAGGGATTGACCTATTTATCAGGATACCCAAACTTCAACATGACACAAATCACTTATTAAGACACTTGCAAACTTAGTTTTCACACAATAAAATAAATAAATTCAGGACTGAAGACATCTATGAGATAACCACTGGCTGTTATCTTAAGTCTCTTCCCAGCCTCATTGGAGAAGTGCAGGGTTCAAATCCTGTTTGGACGTGGTAGCATGTGTAATACTTGTCATAAAAAAACAAAGCAAAAGAAAGAAAGGGTAAGCTGACTCACTGGCTTACTGGACGCTGATGATCGAGCTCGTTGTATGGATCAATCACTATTCCATGCACCCCATGTCTTAAGACTGCAGCCTTTGCAAGCCCAAGAACCCATTTTATACTTGGAAGGCTATCATTCTCACACCTGTTCCATAACCCATTGCTTACAAAATTTGCAACCCTAAGAAGGCATGAAATGAAAATTAAACAAACCACAAGCCACANAAAAAAAGTCATAGACTCATAATAATATAATATTTCATTATTATTCTACCAACTGTTCAAGTTTCCAACATAGTTCAGTAATATCAAAATGCAAAGACCTCTAATTCAAACTCCTAACATCAATTGCTTGAACAACTTTAATATTAATCAGGAATTTTGAATTCAATTAAACAACATTAACATTAGACTTTATTTATTTTTTTTAAACAATAACCACAGAAATGACGTTGTTTCACTAGGTAGTAATTTAAAAATAAGTCCTACGGTAAAACAATGTCATTTTAACTCCAAAAAACAAAAAAATTAAAAATNTGTCGTTTCACTATGTAGTAATTTAAAAATAAGTCCTACGGTAAAACAATGTCATTTTAACTCCAAAAAACAAAAAAATTAAAAATTAAAAAACAGAATCGTCACTTATCGTACGTATCAGGCTTACCATATTGTGCATATCGTGTATCGTACGATACGGTGCAANCGTTGTTTCACTAGGTAGTAATTTAAAAATAAGTCCTACGGTAAAACAATGTCATTTTAACTCCAAAAAACAAAAAAATTAAAAATTAAAAAACAGAATCGTCACTTATCGTACGTATCAGGCTTACCATATTGTGCATATCGTGTATCGTACGATACGGTGCAAAAACNAAACAACATTAACATTAGACTTTATTTATTTTTTTTAAACAATAACCACAGAAATGATGTCGTTTCACTATGTAGTAATTTAAAAATAAGTCCTACGGTAAAACAATGTCATTTTAACTCCAAAAAACAAAAAAATTAAAAATTAAAAAACAGAATCGTCACTTATCGTACGTATCAGGCTTACCATATTGTGCATATCGTGTATCGTACGATACGGTGCAAAAACAATACGGAAACATGATACGTATCGTTTTTCAAGTGTATCGTACGATACATATCGTGCAATACGTATCACGTATCGTACGATACTAATAACTATGCTAACTTATACCCAAAGTGAAGGTAACCATGGTGGAAAGATTTCAATTTCTCATTATCGAATGCTTTATTTCAATATTTTCTTCCTTATTCCTCTCTAAGTAGGTTGACCCTATGNTGATACGTATCGTTTTTCAAGTGTATAGTACGATACATATCGTGCAATACGTATCACGTATCGTACGATACTAATAACTATGTTAACTTATACCCAAAGTGAAGGTAACCATGGTGGAAAGATTTCAATTTCTCATTATCGAATGCTTTATTTCAATATTTTCTTCCTTATTCCTCTCTAAGTAGGTTGACCCTATGAGCTTTGTCTAAATCTATAATNTCGAATGCTTTATTTCAATATTTTCTTCCTTATTCCTCTCTAAGTAGGTTGACCCTATGAGCTTTGTCTAAATCTATAATCTATGGGGACGACTAGTTTAAAATTAGATTGATTTGATTAAAGAGAACAAACTCCCACCTTTCCAATAAACAAGGATTCCCTTCTTGCTTTTCTTACCCATTTCTACTCAGCTTTCAAATACAAATCCCAAGCGAGTTGGAAAAGAAAGAAAAATTTCTAAGAAAGGCAAAACAATGCTGCCATATCAAGGCTAATTACAAGGAAACTACTCGCCTTATTTAAAATTACACTGCATTCCTTTCTAGTTCAATTGTGCTTTGCAGATGCCTATCATGTCACGAAGAACTGTTAGTGTCAAATAAATTAGGGGATGATTACATAATAAGCCTACAATATTCTCATTTTTAATTATCCTGGGCATTGTTATCCACCCCTCCCTAGAATTCAACTTCTCTTATTCATCTTACTTCAAACACAACCATCCACCACCATGTCCAATTAAAATAAGAAAATCAAATTGGATAAACAAAACAATTTCTCTTAGGATTAAAATCAAATCAGTGTAAGAGAAGATTTCATTAGGAAATGACTAGTTTATGTTATGCAGGAAATAAAATACCGAAAATGTATGCCACAGGTTTTGGTGAATTGTAACAGAATTACAAGATATTGTATGCAATATGTTTTGAATTTTNTCTCATTTTTAATTATCCTGGGCATTGTTATCCACCCCTCCCTAGAATTCAACTTCTCTTATTCATCTTACTTCAAACACAACCATCCACCACCATGTCCAATTAAAATAAGAAAATCAAATTGGATAAACAAAACAATTTCTCTTAGGATTAAAATCAAATCAGTGTAAGAGAAGATTTCATTAGGAAATAACTAGTTTATGTTATGCAGGAAATAAAATACCGAAAATGTATGCCACAGGTTTTGGTGAATTATAACAGAATTACAAGATATTGTATGCAATATGTTTTGAATTGTTAGATCCTAAAACCAAATTGTAAATTGACAAATACACCATCATTTCCTAACATTTTCTTGTCATGGAAAATTGAGCATAGTTTTGTGAAATGGAAGTTGCATGTGTCCTTATACGATTGATAATGACGTAGTATTGCAAGACAACCGTACATCAAGTACTATTCTGTGCACTGTGTAATATAAAGGTATATATGCTATTTAAGTGAAGGAAATACCTTTTTGGGATTTATTAAAACTTGTGTATTATGACATTTAATTAAAGGGGAGGGCTTGTTTGGGATAGTACTAATAAGTATGGTGGCATCACTAATGGATTTAAACAAAGGGTGACAAGAGGGAGAACTCACTAATTATTTTTGTGGTAANGGAAGTTGCATGTGTCCTTATACGATTGATAATGACGTAGTATTGCAAGACAACCGTACATCAAGTACTATTCTGTGCACTGTGTAATATAAAGGTATATATGCTATTTAAGTGAAGGAAATACCTTTTTGGGATTTATTAAAACTTGTGTATTATGACATTTAATTAAAGGGGAGGGCTTGTTTGGGATAGTACTAATAAGTATGGCGGCATAACTAATGGATTTAAACAAAGGGTAACAAGAGGGAGAACTCACTAATTATTTTTGTGGTAAAGAGAGGATTTTGTACATATCCAAACATGAATGAGGAATTTGCTATTTGATTGAAAAATTAGGAGGTAAATTGGGGTTGAACCTTCCTATTTATAGTACCTTGGAGAAACAGAAGTATGGGGTCAAGAAAACTACAATGATTTTTCTGATAATGATGACATCATCGCTAATGAATTTCAACAAACGTGACAAGAGGGGAGATTTCACTAATTATTTTGGCAGCCAAAGAGGTTATTGTGTATGTTCAAGCATGAAGGAGGACTCTCGCCGTTTGATTGAAACCTTAGGAGGTATGTTTCTGTTAACCATTATATTTATAACAACTTTTAGAAATCAGAAGTAGGGTTCAACATAATTGAATTAAAGATGTTACCTTGGCTTCAAGCAACAGTTATTTTATTAAGACAAGACCACAACCTCAAGTTTAATTGCGCNTTCCTATTTATAGTACCTTGGAGAAACAGAAGTATGGGGTCAAGAAAACTACAATGATTTTTCTGATAATGATGACATCATCGCTAATGAATTTCAACAAACGTGACAAGAGGGGAGATTTCACTAATTATTTTGGCAGCCAAAGAGGTTATTGTGTATGTTCAAGCATGAAGGAGGACTCTCGCCGTTTGATTGAAACCTTAGGAGGTATGTTTCTGTTTAACCATTATATTTATAACATCTTTTAGAAATCAGAAGTAGGGTTCAACATAATTGAATTAAAGATGTTACCTTGGCTTCAAGCAACAATTATTTTATTAAGACAAGACCACAACCTCAAGTTTAATTGCTCCAAGCAAAAGCAGCTTTTTACAAGACAAATTGCATTCCAGATCATTATTCCAGTGAAATCAATTTAAGTTACCAAGGACAGGCAAAAGCCCGTAAATCTATAGCTTTGATATTCAACCATAAACAAACAAACAAAAAATAGCCTTGATGGTGCATAATAGGTTCAGAGTCTCACTGCATCATTAGCATAAGATGAATTACAGAATGGGACCATATTATTATAGTTTTACAGCACGAAGAATGCCCATGGAAATATTTTTATCAAAACCATGCCAACTCAAAAAAATTTTAACTTACCGTATGAGATAGAAAGTATCACTTAACCACTGCTTTCCTCGCTCTAAATCCTCAACACTCATCCGTTCGACAGATTCTCCATATCTATGATTATCCAGGATAAGCAAAAACAAATATATCAGTCATAACAAGCACAGTTGGAGTACTGATGCTACACCAGAATGGAAGCTTCCTACGATGGGATTTGTTGAGCATGACAATTGTGGAAGCATGGCAGTGAGTTACAGCACTGATGTTATAGGTTTAATTTGGCATGTTGCAAGGTTTTGAACACACTAGTGAGGTTTATTTTTTCTAGGCAAATTGCAGTCTCTATATGGTTCACATATTCATCAACGAAGACAGTTCAATTCATGTAAGACTTCAGACTTCCGTAGATGACAACAAATACGTTCATTGCTTGATGGCTACCTATACTGAATCATATGAAAATAAAGCAGGCATGTGGTGCATGAGATGAGTATCGAATCAAACACAGGAACAATGAGGAGGTTTTCCCAAGAACGTAATCAAGTTATGTAATGACAGCATATGCACACCAGGCGGAATTTGATTATGTCCATATACAGTCAGTTTTCTGTGAGTAACTGTGGGGGGCTCCCAAGGATGGAGAGAAATAGCTGTACAACAGGGTGGTGAGATTAGGCTGCTTTGTGTTCAATTTGATGTTTTCCACTCTCTCCAGGATTTTCCAAATCTAAGTGAACTGGTTTCTCTAACCTTTGTTTCAAAGGTTATATCATCACATATTACATAAATATGCTATACCACCCTCTTCCACTCAATAACCAGACCAGAGTCCTAAATTAATTGAGGAAGCAAGCAAGGGGCTTTATGCCACTCTATTGTGGTATATCCGTGAAACGTCTCCCACATAAAAATGGAAACAACAGAAGTCCCAAATGAAAATACTCAACAACTACTCCTAAACAAACCTACCTCACATCAAAGAAAGGTTTCTTTATATGTTTCTCCAAAAGCTTCCTAGCATGATCCCGAACCTACAAATCAGCAGAATGAATGTGATTGGCATAATAGAAACAGGTTTCTAAGGTATTTCAATCCTTGATTCTAACAATATGCACGACAACATCCACTGTCTGGATTAGTTAACAACAATCACAATACATAATTTCCAAGGTGAAAATGTCAATAGTAGTTTTAGAGCATAACATTTATGAGAAACACATAGCTGATGACATGTGAAGACTTCTCCACGTTGGCAATCGCCAATCAACATGTCAGAAAGAACTTGTCTCACAGTTTTCAACACTTGGTCAATTCTGTAAACTAAAAGAATATGCAAAGTCAAAAATGCAACGTAAATGTCCACGCCCTATAGTTCTTCCACACAAATTCAATCCCCAAGGAAAAAAAGTAAAAGCATAGATAATAAAAATATAACACAACAGATGTCAATTTCTACCTGATAGCGCACTTTAGATCCTCTACGTACATATTCATGCATTATTTGTAGAACTCAACTAAGCTCAACAAAGCTATTATACCCAATTATTTGGGGTATTTCCCCATTATACTCTATCAAGGGCCAATGAGCTATATTTTTTTTTTACTATTTCGTTCGAAGTTACTTTCAGTCTACCTCTACCTCTTGCAATATAATTGAGATGTTTTAAATCACTCTTCCTCATTGGTGTATTATTAAGTCTTCTTTCTATAAACATATCCATACAATCCAAGTCAAATCTCTTAATTTGTCTCTTATTGATGTCGCTTCTACCGTTTTACTTAGTTTTATCTTTTCTTGTTTTACCACAGCTATCTTAACATCATTATTTCTGCAACACTTAGTTTTTGAACATCATGTTTCCTAATTGCCCTACAGTTTGTATTGTAAAGCAAACATGCCAGAAAATGAACTCTTCATTTAGCCCACCCTGTTTTAATTCTATGATTCACACCGTTTCCAATCTCTCCCTTCCTATGGATAATCCACCCCAAAATCGCTCTTTTAGTAAGTAAGTAAAACAATCCCCTCGGAATAAAAAATTTGATTGTGGTCTTGTGGCAAGCAGCCAATTCTAGAGGGTAAAGTGAGGATTATCTGTATGGCCACCCTTTATGAATTCCATCTTTGAAGTACACACTGGCTGCAGGCTGGCAACAGTAAGCTAAACCAGGAGCATATGCTTAGTAGGTTATCAACTACAAAGTCCCGCCAATCTTTGATAACTGATGCCCAAAGAGAAGCCAAGAACTTGACTCTTTCCCAAACTAACCCCCCTAACTCATCTCTTACATNACAGTAAGCTAAACCAGGAGCATATGCTTAGTAGGTTATCAACTACAAAGTCCCGCAAATCTTTGATAACTGATGCCCAAAGAGAAGCCAAGAACTTGACTCTTTCCCAAACTAACCCCCCTAACTCATCTCTTACCTCAAAAATTCTAGCAATGATTTCAATCCAGCAATTTCGTATAAAAAATTCTACAATTTTGTGTTCAGCAAAACAGGAATGCAGTTGAGATTAATAGGGGGTTAGCGTTGTGGCTTTCTCTTGCAGTTCTGTTTACTTTCCTTATTGTGTAATGGTTAGATTTCGTAACCACCTTGTCTGGAATTTCTTCAAGTTAATAACATCATGTTTCTTGTCACCCAAAAAAAAAAAAAATAAGTGGGTTACCAACTGGGCATATAAAGCTGTTCAAAGGAAACTGGGCACAGAAAGAAGCTCTATCAGGAGACTCCAGACTTATTTGAGCTTTTTGACAGCCATGCTCAAGGGAATTAAAATACATAAATGGATCAAGGATTAATTACAACCCACTAATTGAGGCAAGAGGAAGTTTCCACCAAGGTCAATTGGGACACTACAGTAGAAATAAATGAAAGCACTACACGTGATGTGTGGCAAATACAGACATATCTAGTCATCTCTCTGTGACCACATTTTAAGAATTTCTTGTATCAGATACCCTGTCCATGAGTTGAATCATTAGCTATAAATCTTGGCATACTGCACAACATTTACCAACATGCATTCAATTGAATTCGAAGTATTTCCAATGCAACTAAGACGTAAGGAATTAAATAATAAAGGAAACATAAGAAGCAGCATACAGATTGTCTGGGGTACCTAGGCTACATGCAATGTTATTTGTACTTATTTTTTTTCCTGTCATAGAAGGTAAAAGAATGTTACTTGTACTTCTTTAGGCCATTACTTTGTGTTTGTCCCCTTACTTTTGAGACAGTGAGAGGAGTGAAAGGGTAGCATAACCACTGCCCAGTAGCTAGACATTCCCAAACATCATCATAACGTCTCCACTCATAGGTATATGCCAAAGCATTCTCCATCCCAACCTCCACTAACAAAAAGGGGAAAAAAGGAATATTGGATGAAGTAAACATATGATGATGATAGTATGCCTTTATACTAACATTTGAACTAAAACAAAGCTTTGGACTAACAACCATAGCTTATGGATCAGAGACATAGATTATGAATCAGATACATAGATTATAGATCAGATAATAAGCATGATCAACATGCAAAGTATTCAAGGTGACAAGTTGCATCACTACACAACAATATCAAGCATACTTGGGCACATTCAACTCTGTTACAAACAACAAAGCACTAGAGTAAGAACCCAACAGTATCAGCCATGGACCAAGGGGGTAAAAGAAAAAGAGAAAAAAAACGTACTTCTTCATTAAACCTAACACATATGAATTAAGAACACCTCAATGAATATTCTATCATGCTGGCTTGTAATCATGATTCTCGAGTTCCCACTGCAATCCAATTAAAGGGGTGAAAGATGGGCAGTAAAAAGATACTCCATCGTCCTATAGACTGTACCAGCAAATCTGTTTATCCCATAGAGCTATCCTGCTATTAGAAGCCAAAGCATCAAGCATATTCAATTGCCCGCACAATCCCTTTGATGCAAAGTATGCAAACAAGAGAGGGGGAGAACACAAGAGACATCATAAATCTAACCTCGGAAATGAATAGATTTCAGTCTATGCTGGTTGTAAGTTGGTACCATGCTGGTCTATTCTCTTATCAAATTTTAGTTGATAAGAGAATTATAGGAGTTTCAAGATTTTCTAGACATGAGTTGTTGCCACGATCAATAGGTCGAATGAGTCAATTGACGTCATTTGGGTCTAATATGGAGTCTTTAGTGGTCTAGAATAGTCTTAGTCAAAGAGTAAATTTTTTTCCTGTGACCCATTAGCCCATAAGTATCGTGACGAAGCGACTATTGCTCACCCGACACAATCGTACGAGGTCACAATTCACCCAACACGATCATCCGGGGTGAACAAGAATTGAGAATCGGATGCCGGCGAAATTCTCTCCAATGGCTGAGATGTTCAGTCGACTCCCCCCTTCCTATTCAGAACCCCAAAAATACTTTTTTTTTTAAATGGAACTTTTTTCGAGTCAAATCAATTCAAATTACTCTAATGTTTTATTACTTATTTGTTTGTTGCACAAAAAAACTTTTTGAATTTCCACTCAAAAGAGATTTCCCTAACGAAAAAGTTTTTAACGTTGCCCATTATCCCTTCCGTTTCCAAATATTTTTACGAATATGCTTTTTCAATATAGAAGTATGCTTTTTTTTTTGGAATCTTTTACCGATGAGAAAAAACTAAAAAAAAAAATTAGTGCATTTAGGATGGGAAACTGAACCTAAATCAGAGCTAGTCCCCAGAAGTCTTTATGGCACAAACAAAACCCGCAAATTCTACCTGATTTGCCTCCTATTTACTATCCAATATTGTTGACCACAAACACAAAGGGCTTTCCATGGGCCAGGCCAATCAAAATAAGAGCATCCTGATGCTCTTGGTCTGGTTGGGCCGGACTCAAGGCCAGGATATACTGACCAGACCCTGTACCAAGGCCCACTACTTTTTGTTTTAAAATGTTTGTAAATTTAACAAATACTTTTTATACATAGAAATTATTCTAAAAACTAAGTAAATAAAAGGTAAATAAAATAAAGTAATTTTATTCAAAAGCTATTGTTCAGACCAGTCCGAGCCAATCACCACCTCTGGCTCAAGCCCATGCCCTAGCTCCGTACTAGGCCCAAGCCCTCCCCATTGGCCAACAAATTGGGGCAGTTACTATATTATCCAAACCAAGCCACAGGCGACATGACCAACCCATCAAACCCACGGTCTGAGCTGCACACACACGCACGCGCGCGNCCAACAAATTGGGGCAGTTACTATATTATCCAAACCAAGCCACAGGCGACATGACCAACCCATCAAACCCACGGTCTGAGCTGCACACACGCACACATATATATGAATGAACATACACATACATACATCCATACACACAAACATATAAATGCACACATGTATATATAAGGAGAGAAGAAAATTTAATAAGACACCTATAAAATGAGCATTTATAAAAAAGAAAATAGGGTACATTACATTCACATCCTATGGGTTTTGAAAAAGTACAGGAGACCTCTTAAATTGTCACACATGACACATGGATCCCCCGAGTTTTTGAGTTTTTAAGTGTTGTAACAGAGACACTCCTTCCAAGATAAAATCCGCAACAATTAAGCTTAAAATTCATATTTGTCCCTGCTTTCATTGATTTGCTAATAAAGGAGGATAAATTGGTCATTTCATTAACAACTACTATTAATACGTATGAACTATGATATATATAAGTCATCTCTGGATTGCCAATGTGTAGTCATATTGTTTCACAAAACTCAAGAGATGTCAGTAAAACTTACCCAGATACATAAAATCCGTCAAAAGATACTTTTTATTGTGAAATTACCAGAAAGGCTACCACACACAAACGTAAATGAACATGATGAAAAATTCATGTTAAGATCTAGTTCCGCCAATACTAATAAGAAAGTGCTATTGGTAAAACCCACTTTATCACCCCCCCCCAAAAAAAAAAAAAAGTGTCCGTTGATTTTTGTACCGCAATATGTCAAGTCAAAACCAAAATGGAACATCTGTAACACTACACTTCATTCTTCAGCCATAGGATTTTTGAATCAGGAAAAAAAAAAGATTTCAAATCAACATAAATCTTTTAATAGGCCATGCCAACAGTGTCCACTTAGCAACAAGCCAAAAACAAAAGGCTCCAAGAAAAAAAGATCACATGCAAACTTGGATTCACTGTGAGGTGGCATACCTTGTTCTCCATCGAGCAAAGTGCAAATTTCCAACCAACCCTTTCATTAAGATTGCATAAAAGTGCATCAATCCACTCACTCTTGCCTGAATTTGGCACTCCAGTTACTATGGTCAGCTCTCCTGGCACAACCTGATCAAAAGACGGCAAAAAAGCGTTTAACAAATCCACCCTCCTATCGATTGTCATAATTGATTCTAAACTGCTACCGGATTTTTTTAACTATCGCACACAAAGTTAATTTTATTTTACCGTTACCCCTTGCATTATCGTCCATTCGCATCGCTCCTTATATTTTCTGCTCAACGACCAGTGTGTTTGTTTAATACTTTGNCACACAAAGTTAATTTTATTTTACCGTTACCCCTTGCATTATCGTCCATTCGCATCGCTCCTTATATTTTCTGCTCAACGACCAGTGTGTTTGTTTAATACTTTGTGCTTGCAAAACATTAAAAGTTTTGTCCAGGGAGAATAAGATCAATACATCCATAACAGGTTCAGTCTGTCACTCATGAACTCCTTGGTAAACTAGTCTATACATTTAAATAAGTTAAAATAGAACAGTTGATTTCATGAAATTTAGACTTCATTATTCGTACACAAAGAGAGAAAGAGAGAGAGAACAACTACTACTACCAAAAATGTATGACATAATATAGAAGCAATAAGCTAAACGGAGCAGTCTTTCTCGCCATTCCAAATCTTCAATATTAAAGACAAGAACCTACGTTTTGAGCCACAAAACCAAAAACAGAAAAAAAGTCTAGTTGATATACTTCTTCTGAGTGATAATTGTTAGCATTAACAAGGATCAAAATTTCGTTCTGACACATTGTTTCGGTCATCTAGGAAACGAAAATATTTCGACGTGTTTTAGAAACGTTTTGACCGGTTTCGAAAATAGAATGAAAAAAAATTAAAAAATTAAAAATTATTTTTTCAAATCATTTGTCGCAATATACCAAAGTATTTTAAAATATTTTGAAGCATTACAAAACAATTGTGAAAATGCGTTAAAATATTATAAAACATCTCAAAATATTATGGAACACCTCAAAATATTAGAATTTCGATTCCGTCACTGATTCGTTTCGGTCTCCTTGAAAACGGAAATATTTCAGACGTTGCGACCATTTCAAAACGAAATTTTGATCCTTGAGCATTAGCTCATTCNATTTCGGTCTCCTTGAAAACGGAAATATTTCAGACGTTGCGACCATTTCAAAACGAAATTTTGATCCTTGAGCATTAGCTCATTCTCCTCTTCAAACAATTTTATTATTTCTAGACTGCCCAGGTCTATAGCATCCTTGTATCTTGACGTGAAGTAGAAAAATTTTCAAACAATGGGTCACATTATCCCCTGTGTACTAACGAAATTCCAATAGGACTATGACATAAAACAGCTAGAGCTATATGCTGGTAGTACAATCAGGATATATCCCCAGACAGTAACAACCGGATCTTGCCGCATGTCATTATNACTATGACATAAAACAGCTAGAGCTATATGCTGGTAGTACAATCAGGATATATCCCCAGACAGTAACAACCGGATCTTGCCGCATGTCATTATGTTCCATACCAAAAGATAGTGAAATATAAAAAAAAAATTCATCAACATGCCCTACAAGTACTCCTGGGAGGAATTCAACCTCAGCTGATTCCAGCCTAACATACTTCATGGTCTAAAGCCTTGGCCAATGGACTACCACCACAGATCTGCACTAAAACACATCATGGAGCAAACACAAAAGCTTATATCAATGGGCAATGTGCGTGGGCAGTTATTACAACTTTGATTCATGCTAGAGTTTCCTTTCACCTTTTACAAAGTAATTTGGATTGGTTTTGCTATTTTCAAAAAAATTTTGAGATTTTTGGGTCAAGTTTTTAGATATGTCAATTTCGGACAATCTGAGTTCTTTTTATGCTTTAATCCTCACCAAAGGGGTGCAACTAGGGATGAGGAGTTGTAATCTGAGATGCCCAGCCCTGTTTGGGCTTTCTGTGTGATTGCGGAAAAAATCCATAGTCATGACTCAAAGTTGCCAACTGGATGATCTTTCTGGCTCTGTTCTGGTTGCCTCCTTGCTTCTAGGTTGTGACCTGAGATACCCATACATATTTGGGTGTTTTCTGTGCGTGATTGAAATCAGTATTCGGCACCCATGACAGTATTGTTGGTCAGGGTTCTAGTTGTTTTCTACTATTGTAGTTGTTTTTTGGCATCTAGGTATTAGGTTTGGGTATTTTATTGGTATTCTCCAATTTGCCTACTGTGATTGCTAATTATTGATTGGCTATTGGTTTGTTTGTTCATGATTTTCTGTATAATTGATTGTAGATTTGTCAATGACATCCTCAGATGATGTCAAAGGTTGAAAACTAGATAGATCCCTTCCACGATGGCAGCAATTGCTACTCCTGATTTCATGGCAAAAGTTTTGGTACATGCAGAATGGAAAGTCATTTAACTAATAATAATAGTCATTCTCAGACTCCAAAGAATATGAAGATTGCTTTGAGTGAGAATTCTTAGCTTAGTACTGAATCGTATGTAGCCTTCAATATTCAGCTCCTTCACATAGCAAAGAAGACATGGGACTCACTTGAGAAGATGTATACAGAAGAACATAATGTATCGTGGACCTATGAGTTTTTTGAGTATATGTTTAATACAAAACAAGGTGATATATCTCCGGTTGCGCATTAGGGTGTTTTGAAAGATTTGTGAGAAGAACTTATACATTATCAACCATTGAACAGGGATTTAAAGATACAGTGACGGTAGCATGAAGTGTTTTAGGTTGCTTCGTTATTGTCCAGCCTTAACTCTAAGTATAGTGTGTTGAAAGATAAAATTTTCACTAGTGAGACATTACCAAGGACTATCAGTTCTTATTCTTGTCTTCAGCGTACCTCTCTTGCTAGGTTTCTTCTGCTTCATAGGAGTCATCTACCATGATCTCTAGTGATGGTAATCTTGGTGGTCATGGTAGTAGTCGTCATACAACTTAAGGTGGTTGTTGTCGTGGTAGAAGACTTGGTCGTGAAGGACAAGGTAGTCATAGAACGCAGTGATNTCTAGTGATGGTAATCTTGGTGGTCATGGTAGTAGTCGTCATACAACTTAAGGTGGTAGTTGTCGTGGTAGAAGACTTGGTCGTGAAGGACAAGGTAGTCATAGAACGCAGTGATATTAATGTTAGGATAAGTATAAGAGGCCAACATATGCTTGTTAGAGCTTCCAACCCAAAACAAATTGGCAATGGATAAAGTGGCCTCTCAAGTATATAAACTAACCTTATTGGTCCTAATTACTCTTTGTAGGATACAAACTCTCTTAACAATACTAATCAAGCTTCTGATGATTCATCCTCTCCGGTGCATCAAACCTATGGATTGTCTAGAGTAATCTACTTATGGTTCTCATCGAAACCTAATTTCTCAGCTTAGCCAACTCATCCGGCAATTGTGTTCCCTTTCTCCCCAATTGTCTACCTCTTCCACTACTATAGCTAATGCAGATAATTCTATACATAGGGATGCCCAATTTGCTTCACCATTTTGAAGAATTAGTTTGGGAGCTAATGCTCACATGTCTAGTATTGTCTCACTACTTTATAATTTTTATTCTTTTAACTAATTAGCTTATGGTTCTTTTTGACCAAGGCCAAGAGACTCGTGATCTACATCCTACTTAGTCCATACCTTTAAAATTTGGTCTACGGGTTCCTCATTTCCGCTCAAACATGTTATGTGTTCATTAACTAAGTCTTTACAATGTTCACTGACCGTTACTCTGTGTTCTCGTGTTGAGGAACTCTAAATCAATATTACTTGGATTGTGGGTCTCTTTAGTACATGATACGTGTACAGGTATGCTATACGTCACTTTCCTATGTACGCGATACAACGGAAATTGGCTTAACTAGTATGGTGTCTTGAGGCGCAATTCATTTTAGAACTCTTATCTAAATCGTTTTTACTACTACACAACGTTATATATTATAACATCCATAAACACTAAGTCAGTTACCATTTATCTCACATTTGTGTTCGATTTTCTACTATCTAAAATATTATATAATTATAAATTTATATATACGTAATCAGTTAATATGTATTTTATATTTGGGCTATATGTTCCAAAGAAAATCGATTTAAATTTAGTATTTCAATTTGGAGTTGTACATTTTGGTAATCTGAATTGCAACCAACCTTATTTGGGATCGATGCACTTAGATCGTAGATCGTTAGGGTTTTAATGAAATCTTGTAACTAGGCTCTAAATGGAGAAGGTAAATGGTTTTGAGCATAAGCAAAATTATCTTTACAACCTCAATTACGCAGATTCTGTTCCTACTACGAGTGCTACCACATCTCCTCTCTAGTGACATTTTATACTGATATCATCCTTCCTTGCAGAAGCTACATCAAGTTATTCCCAATTGGATTCATTCTTTTTCTTTTTTTTTTTTTAAAAAAAGAATTTTATTATATAATGGAAGAAAGAAGAAAACGAATTACAATATTGAGGATAAGATATCCTCAAAATGAATAAAAACAAGATACACATCTAAGAAAAGTCTTAAGTAAAAAACTAATATTAAGTCGCCTGCCAATTCCGTTGAAGATTCGATAGAAGAATACTTCCAAAACTTCCTGTTGCTTTAATTCAAAATGAAGCCATAAAACAATTCTTTTTCATACTAATTCAGAAGGAAGATACGGTTATTGAAAATTCATGCATTTCTCTCCGTCCAAATACACCAAAGAGTTGTCATGAGCACACAATTCTATAATACCTACACTTCATTTTTATTACCAAAACCCCAAAACTTAATTTGCAACATCTGTTCCATTGTAAACGGGCAAACCCAAGCCTCAACAGTCACTTAATTTGATTCATTTTTCTTTGTTAGAATATAAGGCTTGTCAGTTCAACAAGCATCGCCGTAGTTCTTTTTCTAGTAGTCCTACAAATCATCAATCTACTCTATGATATTTGTTAATTTAGACATTTAAGGTCCTATAAAAATAAAAAGAAATTTTTGTGATTTGTATGTTGTGATCTTTCTCGACGACTTCTCNCTCATCAATCTACTCTGTGATATTTGTTAATTTAGACATTTAAGGTCCTACAAAAATAAAAAGAAATTTTTGTGATTTGTATGTTGTGATCTTTCTCGACGACTTCTCTCATATGATTTGGTTGTTTCGTGTGCAAAATCGATCAAAGTTGTCTAAGACTTTTGTCATCTTCTATAACAAGATTGTGGTTAAGTTTGATAGATGTTTTAAAGTATTTCATTTTGAAAATGCTCAACCACATTAAATCATCTATGGATACTTGTGCTCACTGTGGTAAAATTCATAAACTACATGCCCATATGCATCACGACAAAATAGAATTGTCAAGCGTAAGCATTATCATTTCTTTTAGTTTGCCAACGATTTTAAGTTTAACATGGTGTAGGGTACTAGAAATATTTCCTTTTTCATGTTCAATGAAATATTTCTTGTTGACGACAAAAAAAAAAGTGAAAAACAATTAGTGTGTCATTTGAAGAAGCATTATATGGCCTGAAACCATTAACACGTGTTTGGTTCAAGGATCAAAATTCCGTTTAGAAACGGTACGAAACGTTTTCGTTTTCAAAGAGACCAAAACGAATCAATGATGGAATCGAAATTCTAATACTTCGAAGTGTTCCATAATATTTCGAGATGTTTTCTAATATTTCAATGCATTTGCACAATTGTTTCGTAATGTTTCAAAATATTTTAAGATATTTTAATATATTTCAACAAATGTTTTGGAAACAAAATTTTTATTTTTTTTATTCTGTTTCTGAAATCGCTTGAAACGTTTCCGAAACATGTCGAAACATTTCCGTTTCCTAGATGACCAAAACAATGTACCAAAACGAAATTTTGATCTTTGGTTTGGTTTGATAAACTCAATACAATTGGTCTTGTTTTTTCAGAATTATACTTTAGATCATTCAGTTTTGAAACAATGTTTGTCCAACAAGTGGTATTATTTTTATTGTATATATATTAATCAAATGATTAGTCATAAAGAACACGATGGTATTGCCCACTTTAAGACCCAATTGGAAAAGTAGTTACACATCAAAGACTTGGGCCTTCTTCACTATTTCCTTAGGATTGAAGTTTTCTAATCCAATGAAAGTATAGGTTTGTGCCAACAAAAGAATGTATTGGATTTACTTTCTAAAACCGAGGTACTCTAGGTGCATGTCCAGTTGATACCTCCANAGGATTGAAGTTTTCTAATCCAATGAAAGTATAGGTTTGTGCCAACAAAAGAATGTGTTGGATTTACTTTCTAAAACCGAGGTACTCTAGGTGCATGTCCAGTTGATACCTCCATGCACTCCACAGTTAAGTTGAATTTTGATAGTGGAGAAATTTTTGAAGACATGGAGGGAGGTTTAACAGTAACTTGATTTACTTTACAGTTACATGCACTTATATGTATTATTAGTATGATTAATCATTTTGTGCATGCTCCTCGTAAGCTTCACTAAGCGCCATTTATCGTATTCTTTGCCATTTAAAAGGAGCACCATGCAAATGATTAATATATTGGTCGTTATTATACTAGACCATTACTGGATTTTCTAACACCGACTAGTAAGTAGTTGTATTGATAGACGATCCAGTTCTAGTTACCATACATTTTTAGTGGTAAACTTGTTACTTGACACATTAACAAAAAAGAAGTGGTTTTACGTTCTAGTGCAAAAGCTACATATCGCGTCATGGCTCATACTATTTGTGAGATTTTGAGTTCGCTCTTGACTTCACAAGATGTGTTGATGTGTCGGCTAACTCGTCTCCTATATAGATACAATGTGATAATCGGGCAACTTTTTTCGTTGATAGTAACAGTGTGTTTCATGAGCGCACCAAACAAATTTGACATCGATTATCATTTTCATTCAAGATCTCTTGATGCAAAAGGAGATTATCAATCCATATATCTAGTTTAGTAATCAACTAGGTGATATTTTCACAAAACCGTTGTCTCGGTGCACCTTTAGTAGTATTTGCTTCCAGTTGGGCACTTTTTATCTTTATGATCTAGCTTGAGTGAGAGTGTTAAAGTTTTCCTTTTTCTACTATTATTCATAATATCCTAGAGTAGGGTAATATTATACCTACCCCAATATATTTTGATACAAATAAGATGGTGTAGGGTACTAGAAGCCCATTCACAACAGATCAATTCTTAATCTTTTTCTTCCTCTCTTTCTCTCCTCTTCTTCCAAAACCACACATTTTATTGTCATTGTTTTAAATACTTTCAACTCCACAGATTTTTACAGCACAATCTCCGTGACTACTCATGCCATTCACTTCACTCAATCACTCAAGGATACAAATTAGAATAATATTCCTTTGGGAAAGTGAAGTTTAAGCTGCAGGATAAGTAGAAACTGAAATTCAAGAGATCAAACAAAGTAGACTCACATTGTATAATTCATTTAATGCCATCCATCCAGTTGAAACCCCAAGTTCATAGCCAAGAGTTTGATGATAATAGGAATCAATCTCCTCATAATAATCTCTGAAGCTGAACAACCCTTTTATAGGATATAACTCAGCTTTCTCAATGACTTCTTTCAAAACATCAGGTCCCATAAACATGAGCACCTACAAGTACAAAATAAAGGCAGAGTCAAGAGTGATGACATTAATCTCGGTAGACGTTAATGAAGATCAACAACTCTGAAGTGTTTTCATAATGATTTCAAAACAGGAATACTAAAAGAACTATCATGCTCATGAATACCAAGCCATATTGAACGAATAGCGAGATACAATGGGAAATTATTACATGTCCGCCAGTTGGTAAACATTAAATAAGTAAAATTTTCTTTATTCTTCTTTCAGCAACAAATTATTATGAGTTTGATAATTTTTTATCCAAAAAACAACAATTTTTACCTATTGAGCATGACAGCAAAATGTTGTGAACAATTATTCTGTATTGACAGATCACAAACAACAAATATACAGAGCAATGGAAAATAAGCAGTGTGCTATATCAATATGAACATATATGATATTGCCGAATTGCATAAAGCATGACAAACTCTATTAAATGATGAATGCATTATAGGGAGGTCCAGAAAAACACTTAACCCACAGACCAACTAAAAAGTTTGCATTAAAGGGGGAAAAAAGAAGATTTGATGGTAGATCCAGTATTATGAAAAGCGCGCCTAGGCGAGAAGCGAGGCAAGGCAAGACTAGCTCCCCTGGAGGACCCCAGGTGAAGCGAACGTGATCAAGGCGAGAAAAAAGCAAGAAAAAGTGAAAAAGCGAAAAAGCGTTCGCTTTTATTATAAGAGGCGAAATATTTAATTTTTAATTTAGACTGTTGGATTGGGCGATTACAAAAAAAATTTTAAGATGTTGATGTACCGAATTATTCCCTTATCCTATAAATACAACTCCTAACCTAATTTTGTCTCATTTTTTCTCAGATAGCTTTGATCGGTGCTGCTCTCTCCACTGCTACACGATCGATCGGTGCTGCTCTCCACTGCTACATGATCGGTGCTGTTCTCCACTGCTACACTCCAAATCTTCGAGTTTTTCGCTGCTTCTACACCATCGTTGCTGCTGAACAGAGATATCGTTGGGTTTGTAGGGCTTGTCTGGACTGTGGAGGTTAGTCTCTTCTTCTTCTCTCTTCTATTTTTTTTTTCTTCTGTCTTCTGCTCCTTCACCGATTCTGTTTATTCTCTTTTTTTTTTTTTTTTCTNTGGGAAAGTGAAGTTTAAGCTGCAGGATAAGTAGAAACTGAAATTCAAGAGATCAAACAAAGTAGACTCACATTGTATAATTCATTTAATGCCATCCATCCAGTTGAAACCCCAAGTTCATAGCCAAGAGTTTGATGATAATAGGAATCAATCTCCTCATAATAATCTCTGAAGCTGAACAACCCTTTTATAGGATATAACTCAGCTTTCTCAATGACTTCTTTCAAAACATCAGGTCCCATAAACATGAGCACCTACAAGTACAAAATAAAGGCAGAGTCAAGAGTGATGACATTAATCTCGGTAGACGTTAATGAAGATCAACAACTCTGAAGTGTTTTCATAATGATTTCAAAACAGGAATACTAAAAGAACTATCATGCTCATGAATACCAAGCCATATTGAACGAATAGCGAGATACAGTGGGAAATTATTACATGTCCGCCAGTTGGTAAACATTAAATAAGTAAAATTTTCTTTATTCTTCTTTCAGCAACAAATTATTATGAGTTTGATAATTTTTTATCCAAAAAACAACAATTTTTAACTATTGAGCATGACAGCAAAATGTTGTGAACAATTATTCTGAATTGACAAATCACAAACAACAAATATACAGAGCAATGGAAAATAAGCAGTGTGCTATATCAATATGAACATATATGATATAGCCGAATTGCATAAAGCATGACAAACTCTATTAAATGATGAATGCATTATAGGGAGGTCCAGAAAAACACTTAACCCACAGACCAACTAAAAAGTTTGCATTAAAGGGGGAAAAAAGAAGATTTGATGGTAGATCCAGTATTATGAAAAGCGCGCCTAGGCGAGAAGCGAGGCGAGGCAAGACTAGCTCCCCTGGAGGACCCCAGGCGAAGCGAACGTGATCAAGGCGAGAAAAAAGCAAGAAAAAGTGAAAAAAAGAAAAAGCGTTCGCTTTTATTATAAGAGGCGAAATATTTAATTTTTAATTTAGACTGTTGGATTGGGCGATTACAAAAAAAATTTTAAGATGTTGATGTACCGAATTATTCCCTTATCCTATAAATACAACTCCTAACCTAATTTTGTCTCATTTTTTCTCAGATAGCTTTGATCGGTGCTGCTCTCTCCACTGCTACACAATCGATCGGTGCTGCTCTCCACTGCTACATGATCGGTGCTGTTCTCCACTGCTACACTCCAAATCTTCGAGTTTTTCGCTGCTTCTACACCATCGTTGCTGCTGAACAGAGATATCGTTGGGTTTGTAGGGCTTGTCTGGACTGTGGAGGTTAGTCTCTTCTTCTTCTCTCTTCTATTTTTTTTTTCTTCTGTCTTCTGCTCCTTCAGCGATTCTGCTTATTCTCTTCTTTTTTTTCTTGATCTGATTCTACTCTATCCTGCTCTGATTCTACCCTATTCTGCTCCGATTGTGCTTCTTTTTTTTGTCATTATGCTTCTGTTTTTTTTTTTTTTCCTTATGTTGCTGTCCAAACTCCAGTCCATATGAAGATCCCATAAAAATGTAAGGAGTTAAAACTATATGTAAGCCTAGACAAAAAAAAAATTGTGAATGAAACTCCAGTCCGAAATACAATTTAATTAAGCTTTGATGGCATCTCACTCTCACATGATATGATCATTATAGGTGATTAGGCCCGTGTTTCGAATAATAGAACAATGTTATTTGAATCTAAATTTCTAATATAATTTGTTGGTATAATGGTGTGCCTTTACTTTACATAATTTGATAGCATTAATAAGGCTTTACTTATCAATTTTTTACTATTTTTTTTTCTCATTAGTCCCTTTACATCATTGGATTAGTGAACTCACTATAATGCTTCGTAGGTATTCTATAGAAAATACAAGAAAAATTGGGCAGAGGATTATTGAATTCGTGGAGCCATTGATTTTGGTATCATATATGCTTTCCGTGAACAAGGAGGAATTCACCAAACCCATGCACTTCAAAAATTTATTTTTTTTTAAAATCAATCACTTTCAAACTTATTTCTTAAATTTAGTCATTTTTAAAAGACGTTTAAATATAACGCTTTTCACGCACTAAATATAAATATTGAACTAAATTTGATGTGTAGTGCGTTAAAGGCGTCATGCCAAATCATGTCTTTAAAAACATTATTTCAAATAATCTTTTAATTCATGAAGGCGTTATTTAAAATAATGTCTTTTTAAAAGTGATTGAATTTGAGAAATAAATTTAAAAATAACTTATTTTGAAAAAAAAAATTGGGGTGGGGCATGCCTTTGGTGAATAATCATGTGTAAGCTTAGTTTCATTTGGTAATAATATGGTCGGAGACTGCATAAGAATTATACAAACAAATGAAAATGCAAGACTTAATGCATTCAGTACAAGTTGAATTGTTTACATGTTAAATATGAAATTGTTTACAACGTAATGCTTCTGATTTTTTTTTTTTTGCTCATTTTGCTTCTGTTTTTTTTTTGTGCTGTTGTCCTGATTTTGCTTATGTCCAGTCAATATGAAATTGCTCCTGTGCTGCTTCTATTTTTTTTTTCCTCAGTCGTCTGTTTTTTTTTTTTTGTTTGCATTCTACTGCTGTCCTGATTTTGCTTCTTTTGTTGTCCTGTCCTGTCAATATAAAATTGTTTACAACTGATATAAAATGTGATTCAGTACATGTGAATGTGTTTTGTTCCTTTGATTGTAGTGTGATAGTGTTATTCATAAATGGCATCGTCGTCCGAAGGGAACAAAAAAGATCCGGCATGGAAATATGCACACTTGGTAAATCCTCAAAACACAAACAAGTTCAAATGCAATTTTTGTGGAAAAGAGTCAAATGGAGGTGTCTATCGGGTCAAGCAACACCTAGCGGGGAACTCTACGAGTGTTATTACTTGTCCAAAATGCCCTGCTCATGTTAGGGAGGAGATTAGAGAATACATGGCTAAAAAAAAGGAAGAGAAGAATCTAATGAACATGGTTTCCGACTTTGATGAGATGCCTAATGACTTGGAGGAGGATGAAGATGATATTGTAGAGATTGTTGCGAATCGTAAAAGATCCATGACTAGTTTTAGTCAAGGTTCTGCACAAGCCACATCGAGACCAAAAAAGCCAAGACAAAAAGGGCCTATGGATGTATACTTCACCCCTGATCCGAATGTTGTGGTGCAAAATCGAAAGACCAAGGGGAGACAAACGAATATTGATGCCAGCGATCCTTTTAGAAAGGAAATGAGAGAAAGAGCCATCACAACATTTGCCCGATGGATGTATGACACGGGAATTCCCTTTAATGTTGTGAACTATGAAAGTTTTGCAGCAATGGTTGAAACTTTTGGACAATATGGTCCTGGTTTGAAACCCCCTTCTTACCATGAGGTTCGGGTCCCATTGCTCAACAAAGAAGTAGGGCATATAAAGTCATTGATGAAAGATCACCAAGAGGATTGGGCAAAATATGGATGTTCCATAATGGCCGATGGATGGACTGACAAGAGAGGGAGAACCTTGATTAATTTCTTAGTGAATTGTCCAAAAGGGACCATGTTCTTTGAATCTGTTGATGCTTCTGCATACTCAAAGGATGGGCAAAAAATGTTTGAATTGCTTGATAATTTTGTAGAGCGTATTGGTGAAGCTAATGTGATTCAAATTGTCACTGACAGTGCGGCAGCAAATGTGTTAGCAGGTATGAGCTTCTTGAAAAAAAAAAAAATAATAACTACTTGTTATATTGAATTTTTTTTATGCACACTAGTTGGTAAAAAAATCTTTATTTAATAGGTAAGTTTTTGGAGGCAAAACGACCAAATCTATATTGGACGCCATGTGCTGCCCACTGCTTGGACTTGGTATTGGAAGATATCTTCAAATTGCCAAACTTCAA